TGAAACGTGTGGAAAACGAGCTTAGTCGACAAAACTACGAAGACAGAGGCATGCGTACGACAGCAGATGGTTATTCGACATCAGCTGAGATGGAGCGTATTGTAGATCATTTTCTGGCCACCAACAAGCAACAAGGACTGCGAAATGCACTGCTTTTCTTCTGCAACACTATGGACTTCTACGGGGCGAAAGCGTTCGTATGATGGAACTTGCCGATCTGCAAACGTTACTTCTTGAGCGCGAGGGTGTCACTGAATGTCATGCGTTGGTGATGGTGCTTAAGCAAGGAAAAACAAACCAAGAGGGCCGTGTGGAGTTTGCTGCTGCGATGCGTAACGTTAATGTTGTTATCCGTCCTTTGATGATGCTTTCTTTTTATCTCTTTCATCGGTGGCACGTTGCTGGTGAGGCATTCCCTTGTTTCTAAAGCAATCGAGATTGGTTCGACATCAAGCTCATCAGAGGCAGAGATCGCAACACGCAGTCCATTACGTATGATCGTCATCGCGAGTGTATTTTAGAAGCATTCAAGTCAGTCGGCATTCATAGTAAAGCGGTCACTCACGCTATGAGGGGTTCGTCAGCACGCATGGCAGAGATATCTGGAACGAGCGAAGAGTCTATCCGGCGATTAGGTCGTTGGAATAATTCTGCTTTATCGACCAGTTATCTAACCAATTTGCCTCGTGATATCTTGCGGACCATGGCAGGATTCACTAGAGAGGCTGGCCAATTCTACTTACCTCGTGCTGCTGTTACACCACCCCTTGAGCTTTGCAAGAAGGTTTTTCCTGAAGTCGATCGGTGGCGAGCGTTGCTGGATGCCAAACAAGTGGAGGACTCGTGCGCGGCTGATTCGTTTTTGCGTCTTCTTGTGCAGTTGCGTGTTGAATTTTTGCAAGATTCGGTTTTGATGAAAAAGCGCTGTCCAGGTCATCATTTGTGGCAAGATCCTTTGTTCCGTGATCCTTTGTATCTTGAATTTGAACGGTATGTGCTGGTGGACTACAGTCTTTCGTTTATATACTAATTATCCTTTTAAAATAGTAACTTGAATCATGCACTTGAAAACAACGAAGAGCCCACTGATCTGTTACTTCAATGTGCCGTGCCGATCATTGAAAATAGACTTGCCATCTTGCAACAACAAATACAACAACAAATCGCTGCTCAGCAACAAGACACCAATCGCATCGTACAATCTTTCTCTAACGCCATACCCACTCTGGAAGCACTTGCGCAGCTTGCACCAAACATGAGTCGTATAGGAGATATTGTACAGCATTGGGACCACATCGCCAGCGGACAAGCGTCCTTGAGCGTCACGCTCAACTTGGCAGGTCAGCAGCAGCAACAACGACAAGATCAGCAACAACAACAGCAGCAGGAAGGTTGGGGCTCGGTTTCGCTCCCGTCCTCGTCCTCCTCCCTCCCATCTACCATGACAGCAACTGTGCCACTGCCATCAGCAGCACCAGCGCCATCATCATCTTCGTCGTCGTCGTCAGCAGCACCAGCACCAACATCGTCAGCAGCATCAGCACCCCCAACAACAACAGCCCATATATCCATCCATGAACCGCACAAACGTCCAAACAATCCCACAATTATGGACTGAATGGTTTGACGGTTGGAATGGCGGCATGTCTGTGATTAGAATGGAAGAAGTGTACAAAACTGCATGGCGAAAAAGTGATTCAGACGGCAAATGGTTTCGTAGAAGACGAGCGATGATTCGGAAACTTCAAGATTATATCGAAAGAAAAGGAATGCAAGAAAGAGTACCAGAAGCGTTGGGCACTATACATAGACACTATCTCGCTGTCGGCATTACCTCATTAGATTCACTATCGAAAGACTTATGTTTTTTTGATACACTTTAAACTTTTTGTATATTCATTTCACCATCTTTTTCTTTTTTTCACTCGCTAGCTTTCCCTTTGACACGCTTTTTTTCAACTTTCTAACATTGGCCTTGCTTGGCCATATTTTTTTTATTGTATTACTTCCATGTTGTGGTCTGTTGGCCATGATGGTTTTTGCCTCGCTTTTTTTTTCTTTTTAACTTTTGCTTGTTTCGTGGCCTTGTTTGGCCCTTTTTTTTTCAAAGAATATATAACTTTTGTTTCGTGGGCTCACGAGGCCTGTCCTAAAAATGATTGTCAATGGTTTGGAATAGGGAATGCTTATTATAGTACGTTTTCTGAAGCATGATGAAATGCATTTGATAAATTAGTTGCACTTGATGCAGAGCTTAAGATGTAGGAATTAGATTATATATATACACGCAGTACTGGATATGGCTCTAATTATAATAATTTAATAATGGACACTCGAGACGACTGTGTACAGTATACCACGAACGATACATGGTTAGTAGCATGGCGATAATGTATTACTGGGAACAGAAATATGTTGTTTAAATGAAGGCGATGTAGATTAGTTTTTCTCTCCAAAAATGTTCGTACTGCTGCAGATGTTGCGCTGGTTTTTCGCGCCTTCCGCTGTCAAAATGCATTGTGAATACATAAATCTTGAGTAGTTATCAAGGAAGGATAGTCATTAGAACTGCTTATAGTTAGTTCATCGGTCGATAGCGGTTACAAAGTAGTTTTATAATCGTTGCAATGGCAGCAATAAGTTGCTGTTATTCATCAGTCAGGCAAAGATAGGAACAAGATATGACATGTTCCTACACAACACTAACTATCTCTACCTAGTGTCTATTACATGTTCAAAGTACAGGAAAGGAGAGAAAACATTGTTAATATCTCAAGCATAGATAGAACAGCGTATACCGTCCAATCCACTGAATCAATGTGCCATCTATACTAATGCTTTTTGAAAGCTATCAACAAGGTACCTGACGAGACAGAAGAAAGATAGGGTTAGTCTGAAGTGTAGACACTGATGTTGGATCTATGTGTATGTTAGAGTGTAGTAGTTTTGCTAACACCATGGCATCCATATCACTGTCATCTAACATTGAAAGTATTGGAGAGATCACTAAAATGTAGGCTCTTTGAGTGGTACAGTTGCTGTATGTAGCTAGCATGATACAAATTACACGACCTAGAGCAGCTCATTCATTAAGAACAGCACGATTTAAAAAACTTATTCTGCAATCTCGGATGACATTAACCTTTCCTCGAATACATAGAATCAATGCCCGGTTCATTTAAAGCATTTTGAAGGTTTTCTGTAATTATTCTAAAGATACCAAGCTCTTCTTTTATTAATAACAAGCAGGTCCACGGCTCTACTTATAAACACAGTCCCCAACAATTGATATTCGCGGATATCATTCGGTATAACCAATGATATCGCTGGATATCACTGTGGTCCTGCTATCGGGATTTTAAAAAATGGTGGACCCAGGTGGACTTTGGTGGACCTCAAGATTTTATACTTGTATTTATCCTTCTCTTTAAATATCTAAAAAATAAAGTTTTTATTTTTTGATATTCTGAAAAAATACATCAAAATAATAATTTTGAGTATTTTCTACTATTAGGAAAAAACAAGAATATGTCAATGTTGTTGTTTGTTGTTGTTGTTCATATTTAAATAAATATAAAAAGATATATACACTTTTAATAATCTAGTGATTGATAAAAATTTAAGAATTTTTTGTAATCACTAAATTATTGATTAAACCTCTAAGCGTAAACTGTCAACCGCGCAACATGCAGAAACTGATGGTCAAACCGAAAGAGTGAGCCGAATACTTGAAGATCTTTTACGCCATTATGTTGCATTCGATCAATAGGATTAGGATGTATAGCTACTAGTTGTGGAGCATACATACAAGAATACATACCAAGCGTCAATCAAGATGACTCCATATTACTGTGACTTAGGTCGTCATGTCCTCACCCCAAGTTACCTGGAATCTAACTCAAGTAACGAAGCTGTGGCGCACCTTGAGTCAAGACTTAAGACGATCGGTGAACACGTAACCGGCAATATCAAGGCTGCTGCAGCCAGGCAAGAGCAGTATGCCAACCCACATAGGCGTGACGTTGAATTCGAATTTAGACAAGAAGTACTTGTGGATCAACTATACCTTAATCCACATAACTTCCTATGATCAGCCTAGAAGAAGCTTGCAGCCAAGTACACAGGTCCCTATAAGATTACTGAATGCATTGGTAAGGTATCTTATCGTCTCAAGCTCCGAACAAATATCAAGGCACACAATGTATTCCATGTTCGAACGCTCAAGCTGTACACTCAAAGTCAAGATCACCGGACCCCGGCACGACTACCACCTTTAGTTATTGAAGGCGAACCCGAGTATGAATTTGAAGCTATCATTGACAAGAGAACTTACAAACGACGCATCGAGTATCTAGTCAAATGGTTAGGCTATCCAATTCATGATGCTACATAGGAACCACTCAAGAACTTAGACAATTGTCAAGTTTTTATTCAAAACTATGAAGATAGACTTCACAAAGGAATTACATCAACCACACCATCATCGACCCAAGACAGGCGATACGGCATACCAGGTGGCAGCATCAGGACCACCAAGGGCCGACCCAAACGATCTTGATCCTGTAAACCAGGGAAGAGGTCCACACGATGTGGAGGGGGAGGGATACCTGGATTTTGCTGTTGCTGTTGCTGTTGCTAGTGAACACTAGGAGACCTAGGGTCTTGTGGTTGCTCCATATAGTCCAGGCGATGTCACAGGAGACATAAAATCCGAACGAGCAGACCTAGGGGAGCTTAGCAGAGACACCAAGGGAGTAGGAGGGGTATGCCCTGTGGTAGTAACCTCAGGTGCACCCAAGGAGCCCTCAAGAGGTGACATGGACCCAAGGCGGAGCTGGTAGTCAGTTTCATCACTAGCCAGCTCATCCACCTCTTCAGTATACTCAACCTCATCATCAGTCTCTACTAAAGGACAAATATGAGCACTAGTCAAACAACTAGAACGACGCAAGCTACCAGGAACTGCAACTGAGCCGCTGCCAGAAGCCACTGAGCCACCACTAGACCGAACAGAACTAGGAGGGCTAGCCTGAAAGACAACAGGACCAAAGGTACCTAAATCTAGGACACCACCAGTAGGACCAAAAGTGGCGACTTAGGAGGAGCCAAGGTAGGGTACACCTCACTACTAGAACGCAATTGGCCCAAGGAGTAGACCAAACCTATTGGCTCACAATTGCACCAAGACTGGAAGACCCAGGACAAATACCAAGAAGGCACCTGCAGCTCAGGACCAACAAGAATGTTCTGGCCTAGGAGCATCATTAATAAATAAAAATCTTTAAAGTTAATTTCTTAAAAAGATGTATCATTTCGAAATTAAAATTAATTAATTAATTTTTAATTTCTTTGAAAAAAATAATTATTTTTTTCGGATAATAGTTTTTGCTAAGACAAAAAATTAAAAAAAAATTTATAGAAAAACAAATATCTGTGAATTCTGCAATACCCAAAATTAAAATTTTGGTTGAGAATTCAGAACCTTTTTCTTCTTTGAAAAAGAACCATAAAAAGAAGCACTTCGTAAGTTAAGAACTTACGAATTTTTTTAAAGGTTCAACAATGCTCTAGGAGCCATATATGACTACAGGGAACATCCTTACCTAGGAGGTACTGTTGATCAGCACAGTAACCTCTCTTATTGAGTCTGCACTGATCACAGTAGTGTGGCGACTGTTCCACATCATACAAGCCACCATCGGGCATAAAGTTAAAGCAGATCCGTGAGAAACAGAAGCAATGCTGGCAGACATTAGCTGGACGTTCAAAGCGATACGAAATCACTGGGTGCAAATTGGTAACATGACTAGTGATGTAAGTGTGACCAATGCAGTCTCAAGCAAAGGCAGGTTGAGCAAGACCACCAGTATAGGTAGTGGTACTAAGGTATGAAGTAAAGACGGACATTGGTTGATAAGGAAACAAGTAAAGGCAAGGACTAGAAGTAGATAAATATGCAACTAGAAAAAGAAGCAAGGAAGTGGTATACCCCTGCTCAATGTTTGTAAAAATTTTACAGCGGTGTTTCACATTAGGTCACCGCTAATACCTTCACCCCCACAGTATCAATGCATGTTTATTCTCCTACCCCTATGATTTTCCTCATAGTACCTAAGTACCCCCGATGTTTCTCATGACACCCAAGTACCCCCAAATTTAAAAATCTGTAAACCCTATCACCTCCACCCCATCATACACTTCCCTGTTCCCATTATTATTATATTACTGTATTCACTGATCGTTGTAAATTATACTCCTTAATATTAGAGGGGAAGAATGTTACTGACTAGGTAGCATTTAGTCAAGGAACCTGGGCCCCGGCCTGGGTTGTACAAAGCTTATTAGGCCCAGCAGTATATCAAGGCTGGCTGGGCTGGGAAAATAAAAAGTAGCCTCTTTTCCACTGAATCATTCACTGACCTGGATAAACGTTCCCTATAGAAAAGGCCCTAGTCTATAGCTAGGGATCCACATCAGAATCGAAGAATCGGAATCGAATCCAATCGGAGTCGTCAAAACCCAAGACGATTCCGACTAAGAATCGTCTCAGAATCGTCTCAGCTTTGGTTGCATAGAATCAAAGAATTGGTCCTTTTCTATATTCTATGATTTCAGTAATTTGCATATTGTAGAGCATTTATTTATATATCGCTAAAATACAGCTGAAACTAGTTCCTTTCTTTAAAGGCGACCTCCAAACTTAAGTCGTGTTTTCATTTTTACCAAATAATATATGAAAGGAAGGGGACGAGAAACAAAGAGAAAATGGTGCAAAAAGAAAAAAGATAAGAGGGGAAGAGAGGAAAAAAGAAGAGACAAAATGCTATTCTAAACGCCAAAATCAAAAGAGAGCCATGAATGCAGAAGCATTAACCTTTGAATTGACTCTGGCTTCAATAGATTATGGGTATGGGGGAGCAAGAGGCGGCTCTGTGAGAAGCAGCATTTGGATGGTGTTGAAGTAACTGTGACGCGCATCATTACTTCTTCCCCTACAGTGCAACTCACAATGCATTTTTCTCTATGAGATACTACTTTACTAGATTTAGTGTGGCTTCTCAATCAGTTGGATCAAGATTGTGCATTCCATCTGAGATTGCGCAATTAGGGGTCGTTAAGAGAATTATCTTACTCATTCACCCTTTGCCTTTCATAAGACACTATACATGCGTAGAGACATAGTAGCTGTGTGTACTACTAGTTGTGGTTTATTTCCTCCAATATAATATGATATCATTGCTTCACAGTTCATCACCGCTCACAGCGCTTTTTTTTATAATGTACTATGCCTTGCCACTCGTTACACTGCTCATTCATGACGTACTACTATGAGATTTCTGTTGCCAGTTTCAATTGACCCGTCGATTAAGCTTGCACAATTTGAGCATGGGCATTTCTGTCATTCGCTTCCTCCCTTGTCTTCTATCAGACATAAAATGCACGCGTATGTGCAGTCATACATAATATGGGTTGTAGTATTTTCTCCTACACTTGAAAAACGATATCTTACTCTAAATACTATCCATCCTTTTAATTTTGAAATGCAGATTGTTTCTTAATAGTGGAATGTTACAGCTCTTTAGAAGTAGATTATATATTGCTTTTTAAAGCTTACTATTCGTACTAAGCATTGAAATCTTCTTTCTTTCCAAATAGCGTTCATACTTATATTATACTTAGCTACATTTTGACTATAATCGAGGATACATATTTTTTTTCTCTTTCATATGATATATCCGATTCGATTCTTCGATTTCTACTGATTCTTACCGAGACGATTCGATTCGATTCCTCACTTAGATGATACTGATTCGAATCCCTCAAAGAATCGGTAGAAATCGTCTCATGTGGAACCCTATCTATAACAATATACTGTATATCTACTGTCAGTGTATCCAATGTATTTCTTATTAATGTATGGCAAATATTATAATAGCGAAGTACTTTATTCATTATATTGTACACATCTTCATAATTAACCCTTCTCTGGCCGGCAGTTTCCTGCTCAGTCAAAAAATCAAGCTGTCGCAAAACAGACATGTGAATATCACGGCAATTGCTGGGCCGTGCATTTGTTGTGCAATCCTTTGGACCTTAGCGTGAGTTAATGGCAGTGTGCGGACATCATCTTGATTTCTAGGTATATGATTTGTGTGGGTGCTCAAGAGCTGAATCTTGCAAATGTTGGGTGAATTACGTGAGATTGTAACTTTAAGGTGGCCAGCACAGTTGCACTTCTTACTGTCCTTTTGAGCTACGCGAGTAGTATGGCTATGTGTATAGTGACCAGCACGATGACAGTTAAAAGTCTTAGTGTAAATGATATTGCTGTTAGGATTACCAATCGTCTTGTATTTTTTGTTCCATTTGGTCGCACACAATTCCGAGATTCGAGCCAAACAGTTCACCCATTTACCAGCAGGAACGAATATAGGTTCGTGGAGCATTAGCATCAAAACACCAGCTATAGTTGAGTACACAAGGGCAAGAAGAATGTTGTTGATATTATAGATTTCGTTGCTCATAATGTATAACCGTTCAAAATAAGATAGTGATAAAGAAGGTACCATTTTATTCACAACTTAGTGACAGATTTTTCACTCGTAAACTTCACTATGGGTATTAATTAAAATTCGGTGGATTTAGTGGAAATAATAAAATCTGTAAGAAACAGTTATTTAACCTGGTTATACAGCTTATTTTTGTTATTAATTATAGGCAACACTAGTTAAAATGAATCAAAAAATAGGCTATGATTTAAAAAGATTTATATAAAATACATATCATATAGATTAAACACTATGTCTTTTTTGGATTAAAAGGGCATTGCCTCTTAAACTTGAAATTTTTAGATATTATTCTTTTTTCAGATCAAAATGGAAATGGTGGAAGATCCAACGTTTAAGTGATATGGATTAACTCCCTATTAAGTTAGCCACCTTCTGTAATCCTGTTGCTAATATGATATTACTTTTTAATGCTAAAGTGAATGACACCTCATTTTCCCTCTTTATGCATCCAACTGATCTTTTAGGTAGATTATGTGCAATCATTAATGACGTTGTTTATTAGCTTTCTTTTGTATAATACAAAAGAAACCCACTGTCCAGCAAACATGACGTCCTGTTGTTTATACTATATCTATCCATTGTTTCCTTTCATTATCCAACATAGCAGACATGGCAAATTGTCTGTGAGCACAGAGAGATGACTGTCAACATGTTGTACGTGCAAATAATAGTGGATCAGTGTCATGTTGTATGTATAAGTATATGGGTAAAGAAAGGAAGTTGTTGTTGTTTTTAGATATGTACAATTCAGAAGTGACAGATGAAGTTTGGCGTTGTATTGGCACATAAGTTTGAAGTTGAATAGGTGTAAGTAGTTTAAAAAAGCATAAGCATATACAGAACAAAAGAGAAAGAAGCAGTAATTCTGAATAAGTATATATCATGCGGTTCATAGGGACCGCTGAAATTTCCCTGGCAGCAGCCTCGGGTAAATATAGTTCCGGAGTAAATTCCCTGGCATCCTTCAGGAAAACTATTTACCCAGGAATACCTATACCACCATGCACCAATTTTTTTCGTGAGTTTTTTTGTTTGTTATAAATATTTTCATACTTGTTCCTATTACTACTTTCTCCTACAAAAAATGAACAATGACGTTGCTGATGATATAAGCTTTTTTCTTCCTAGTAGAGCACCGATCTCCCAATACTAGTGATGCAGTTCGTTTGCGTAATCGGGGCAACACTAGTCATCTACAAATTCGTTCAATTGCAGAGGGCACGTTCGACGAGGAGAGCACTTACGAGTGTACTGATTGTTACTAGGCTAAACCAGGACGCCTTTTCAGAGGCGCAACAAAGCCTCTTAAGACTTGCTCCCCTTGCCGCTTTGAGCAAACACCTCTAGAAATCATTGCTTTGGACGATATGCTGCAGTTGGATGAGTTGCATGAGGTTTGCCCTGTTCATGCAGATACTGACAGAATCGAGGTATGTGTAGCTTTGTAATAGACCAATTGTAGTTTTTAAATAACTAACCAATATTGTTGCAGATTTACAAATTTCATGGTTATATCTGCATTGAACCGTATATAGAGGCGATGGATCCAGCCGATATGATCAAAAGAATATTGGAGGAAGTGCAGCGATGTGACCAATATACATATATTCTCAAAAATATAGGAGACCCAGAGCTCTTGACGAACATTTCCTTTGGAGCATATTGTCATAGATCCCAGGAGATTCAGCAGCAAATAGCCGAACATCTCCTTGTACGCATAAACCATAGGCTTCCAGCTTTTGAATGCCATGGTCGCGTAAGAGGCACTATCAAAAAGGAGCTTGGCTATATCGAACTTAACATTCAACATCCGATTAATCACGATCGAGTGGATTCAGATCGAGAAACAAGACGAAATGCTGTTCCTATGGTTGTAAGACAATATATAACCGAGCGAGCAACAGAATGGGACATCAATGCATCAACTTTGTACGAGGCAGTGAGAACAAGGTATCCTGACATGGCGTGGAGCCTCACGACGAATAACCATACCAATAGATGGCAATGCCTATATAGTACCTAATAAGAATAGTATCATATAATATATTAGTAGATGAATATAACAATAGCATCTATATATAATAATAGTACTATTATATAATATCATCAATAAATAAAAGTATTAACAATTTGAAAATTACTATTAATTTGTATAAATATAATAAATAATATAAATAAATTGTTTTTTTAGTCTAAAATTATGATTTTCAAATAAATGTAAGGTTATCCGACCATGCAGGTGTATTACTAGTGGTCAGTAGGATTCCAGTCAATATACCGCTTGTATGACGACCAAATGATTTTAAGTTGTCTGCTTCTCCGAAGATACAACAACATTGGTTTTGTGGAGGTATGTGTTATGAATATTACTAACCATCAACCTTCTCTTTGCTTTAAAAGCTAGAGATAGATAGAATCAAACGTGGCATATTAAATCTTATACACTTAAGTAAAAATTAGATGTATTGGAGACAAGATGAACATGCTGTTGCTATTGGATTCATTACTCCATTTTTTGAAAATTTGGCATCATGCCAATACATTGAAGAGTATTACATTGATTCGACATTGAAAACCAATTGTGCAGGCTGCGAATTGTTTGGCATCGTAGCAATGACCGATGGTGTTGGATACACCATCGGATATCTAGTCTATACTTCGTTCGAAGGAGCACCAGAACTCACAAGAACCAATACGCTGGCAGCATTCTTACAAAGACTAAAAGATTTCAGATGAAACCTGGGTTTTGTGTTTTCCGACAAAGATAGATCTCAGATCAATGCCGTTCAGCAAGTCTTTAGCGAGAGTTATTTACGACTCTGCATCTAGCATATTGCCAAGAGCATAAGCCAAAAATTAGGCGAGAATAAATCTGCCAGTATTCTGGCATGCGATGTCCCTGTAGCAAGAACCGAGTTTAGTTTCATTGGTGACGATTTCACCCCATCAATTGGTGGTCGTAGAGGTGTCATATGCAGAAAAGAAGATCGAGATGCTATCATCGATCTCATAAGAAAGCACTACAACAGACACCTATTGATACCTAATGGTAGTATCCAACACTTATATATTTTTAACTGGATTATAGCTGTCGATGCTTAAATTCATGCTCTTGCTTAAATGTTATATCACTCTACATTTATTGTAGATAATCGATACGAAACTGCTGATGAAATCCACCAGAGTGCTGCCAGAGAAATTTACGAATACTGCTACGCCAGGCTATTAATTGACGCGTGGATTTATATGTACAAGCATTGGTATACATACAATCAATGGCGTTTGTGGGTGTGTAGCGTCGTTCCAAATCAGATTCCGTATGGCAGAGCCAACAACTTCATCGAAGTGCACTGGAAGGTTCTTAAATGTAACTACCTTTACAGACATCCTCGTGCCCACTTCGATATGCTTGTATATGCTTGTATACGTTATTTGCGACAAGTAACTTTCCAAAAGTAAAAGACAAATTCAACAGCTTGACGGTTGCTGGTAACGAGCCCACCAAATAGGCGTACAACTTTGTTAAATAGTGGAATAAGGCGTATCGCACACCACATAACATATAGGCAGATCGACTGTACCTACCTTCTGTCGAAAATTGGACCTGTGGCTGCCTGGCTTTTTTACAAAACCGGTATTTAATCTGCAAGCATCTAGTCCAGCGTTCTAACCACTGACAACTTGCAGCTAAAACATATTTCATCTTACGACAAAGCAGTGCTCCGTTCATTTCGTTTAGACCAGTATATATATGAAGAACACATAGTGTGCTGTAGCTTTTTATGTATATAGATGGATAAATAACTCTTGTTTACTGCTTTTAGTACATCGACAATGTTTTTAGGAACTTGGGATTCGCTAACGACAATGACAACAGCGATACCAGAAATGCCAGCATCATTCGCACCATAGCTCCTGCCGCTGCTACTACCACTACTATCGCCACGACCTCGACCCGCCCATCTGCTACTGCTACTCGCAATATTGCTCCTATTACCCCTCCTTCTTCCTGACCAAGCATCATTATTATCAGTGATGATGAATCAACAACAGAAAATGACCTCCTTCCTATTCAAACTGCAGTTCTTCCAGACAGGGAGCGAGAATCACGCAATTTTGAACTAGAGATGCAATGGAGCTGGGAGCATCGACGATGACTGGTGTTACAGCTAGAAGAAGAAGACAGGCAGTTTGATGAAGTTGCTGATTCATACAGAGCTAGCATAAACGAACAGCAACGCAACTGGTTCAATCAACAACTTTCAGGTGGTCACATCGACGAATACCTCAGTGATGTAGCTCATTTATGCTGCAGACGTACCTTGCCCACTACTTACAGTGAAACAACTGCTAACACAAGACATGCATAACTATTTTCCATTTTTTTTTCCGTATATAATTCCACTTTCCATCATCTCTTTCTTAATCCTTTTATTATAGAATATCCTGCCTATTTCAATTTCTGGTCACACTTTTATTATCTCTTATCCATCTCTTTTCCACGTATAAAATAACTGTTTTATAAAGAAAATAAAACACGAAAAAAATTGGTGCATAATGGTATAGGTATTCCTGGGTAAATAGTTTTCCTGAAGGATGCCAGGAAATTTGCTCCGGAACTATATTTACCCAAGGCTGCTGCCAGGGAAATTTCAGCGGACCCTATGGCACCACCTACCTAGCCATTTCAAGAAAAATCACGGAAACGGATTTTGGAAATTACTTTCTCCGAACGGTTAATCATATAACCGAACCAAAATCCGTTTTTCAGAATACAATGTTAATCAAGCTCTGATTGATATATAACCATGAAATTACTACTACTATGTCTGCACGCACACTATATGAATAGCACGCTATGTACTGTAGCCTTTTCTGTTATATTATCTCAACTTCTCTATCTGCATTATGTATAAAATGGTTTTTTTTCATGGAGCCTTCCATCCCTGGACGGTTAGCATCAATCTCTTGCAGTGTCCATGCTGATATCTTCTCTGTATCTGTCTAATTTCGTAACATGACATGTGCAACTACTGATATAAGCACTCATTTTTAAATACTACTTATGATCTTGTGGTCAAGGTAGAGAAGTTTAGTAAGATATATAAATATGTTGAGATAGATGGATATATAATAAAAGAAAAATCTATGGTCGAGATAAATAGAAACTATAATGGAATTTAGAGATAGCGAGTGAATGGGTGGTCATCACGCCATGTTCTTTATCTTGTTCGTCTAGCTCGATACCAACCGACTACTGTCAAATATTCGTTGAGTCTATCGGTATGATTGCGATTGCGGTCAACTACCTCGTGCTGTCGTCTTCCAAGGATTGTACGATAATTATCGATTCTTGCATTTAACTCATGAAGAGTATCGACAATCCCTTACTCCGCATCGTGCTGCCTCGCCCAATCATTGTCGTCTTCCTTAGGCAGGGATGGTCGTAGCTGTGGTCGTGGTTGTGGTTGCGATTGCTGTTGTTGTTGCAGTTGGTGCAGTCGACGTGGATTCAACAAAGGTTCATCTTCTGAGTCAGAAGAACTGATTACATGAGACGAGGTAGGACGAGGAGTTGCCAAGCGTGTGTTGTGCTCTGTATTTCCACGTCTAGCTGGCGAAGTACGTACAAGAGGAGACGGTAAAGCAGTTGATTGCATAGCTGGCATAGAAGACGTACACTAGGTCAAAAAAGTGTCCTAATGATTGGGACATTTAACTACTTTCTCACTTTTCTATTGATATAGTGGACCAATCAGTGTGAAACTTTGTATACTAGATGCTGGGCATGTATGCAAACGGACTTTACAAAACAAAACTAAGGGGCGGAGTATTAAAGGAGCATGAGCCATTTTGTATAAAGCTATCATTGGGACACTTTTTTGACACTTTATCAGGAGTTTTAATATCAAGCCACAAAAAAGATTTTTAACAAGGACACTCCACTTTTTATGTTTTGATCCTTTCTCTTTCACCTTTTCTGCTTCATTTAATGTAAGTTACATATCATTTGCTCTACTTTTGGTGAAGTTACAGTACAGAACCTTATGAGATATCATTAGATGAAACCTCTTTCAGCTGCCCAGCACCAGTCTGTTGTCCAAGGCCTACAGAAGAAGCTATCTATACGTCAAATTGCTAAAGCAACGGGTATAGGCTGAAGCTCTATCCAACGAATTCGAAAAAACGTTGTTACTGTATCAGGAACCACCAAGAATGGTAGACCTTCAAAGCTGGGACATCATACAAGGAAACTTCTGGCTAGAGAGTTCAAGTCTGGTAGCCTCAAGAATGCTCCCTAAGGCTCTAAATATATTCAACAGTACTATGGCACCACACTAACTCCAGAAACAGCTCGAAAGTAGTATGTAAAAGTGGCCTTAAGGCTTTCAAGAAACCAAAGAAGCCAGCCATTAGTGAGAAAAACAGAAAGGAACGACTTAAGTGGGCCAAAGAGCATCAGCACTGGACTATTGAAGATTGGAAAAAGGTGGTCTGGTCTGACGAAACAAGAATCAATCGTTTTGGAAGTGATGGTGTCGTTTATGTATGGTGCGATCCAAATATAAGGCTGACAAGAAACCATGTTAGACAGACAGTAAAGAATGATGAAGGAAGAATCATGGTCTGGAGCTGCTTTTCCTGGGATGGTGTTGGCTATATATGCGACATTGGTGACAAGAATATGGACAAGAGCGATTACCTAGCCATTCTGGAGTCTGACCTGATGGAATCCTTACACCACTATGCTATGAATAAGGATGAGACCATCTATATGCAAGATTATTGTCCCAAACACAAGTCAAAAGTTGTTATGGACTGGCTATCTCAGCAAGCATTCCAAGTTATGAAGTGGCCTGCACAGTCTCCTGATCTCAATCCAATTGAAAACATGTGGTCTACATTGAAAAGGATGCTTATAAATAAGTATCCTACCCCAGCATCAAATAGAGATGAACTGTTCCAGAGAATTGGTAAATACTAGTATAGCATTGATGCAACAGAGTGCTAAAAATACATTAACTCTATGCCTAATCGAGTGCGGCAAGTTATAGAAGCAAAAGGATTATGGACATCATACTAAAAATTAATTGTACCTTAATAAAACATGAAGATTTTGGAAAGCGTCAAAAAAGTGTCCCAATGATAGTTTTAAAGAAAATAGCTCCTACTCCTTTAATACTCCGCCCATCATTATATTACTTTGAAGTCCGCTTGTGCATATTCACACCATTTAATATACAAAGTTTCACATTGATTGGTTCAGTATATCAAGAGGAAAAAGAGAAAGTATCCAAATGTCCCAATCATTAGGACACTTTTTTAACCTAGTGTAGTTGTAGTAGTAGGTGCTGGCACAAATGCTGATGGCGGGTGTGATGGTGTTGGAAGGATGGCGTCAGGGATTTCTACTGAACCATAAGGATAAAAACGAGGCTACAAATAGCCAATTAAGATATTTGTCTCTCATTTGGTGGCAGATTAAAAAAGTAAACTTACTTCTTCTATTTGTACAAAAGGCGGTAAAGAGCTACGATGAATGTAATACTCGTGTGCTGCAAACAGGCTTGAGAGAAGGGGATTGGCGCGATGATAACGACTGATTAAATGTTTGCAAAGCATATACCGACTAGCAGCAAAGGACAGACAACCACAAGTCCAACGGTCCAGCAATACATGGTAATGTGCGTCCACATTTTGCCGTTGTTGCCCACTATGATCTTTAAGCTTGTGCCATTCACGTGCGAATGCAGCTTCCCAATCTAATGTCTCTCGACGATTGACAATTTTCAAACAAAAATTGTTCTGTACGATGGGTGCCTGCCTCTCACAGATAATGCACACAAGCATATCCAATCGCGGTCTGGGCGTATTGATAAGGAATTCTCTCTTAAGAACCCTCCATTGAGCTTCGATCATCATCGTGGTTTTCGCCAACGGGATAGCTTCAGGAATGCTACTTCGTGCCCATATAACCCACCATTCAGGAGCATACTATCTCCTATAAAGATACACCGAAGCATCAGGCAGGGCGTGATCCACGCATAAGTCGTACATTTCTTCAATAGCGCGATAATACAACTGCTGCTCGTTTTGGGTGCCAACTACATATTTTTTTAATAATCATTATGATATGATTTTTGGATCGACATAATGTTCTACCTACCTCCTTCGAGCGCAATTAACGGGTGCCAATTATAATGCTATTAACGGGTGCCAATTATAATGCTTTCGCATCATATCTATGATGGTATTTCGATTTTCCAGGTCACTGCATAAACTGCCAGTTCTATCTTCCCCAGGACGAAACATTGCACTTATAAAGGGAAATAAACCTCGAGCCTCGTCTGAGATATTTTGCAGTCTTGCTGTTTTGGGTTCTGCTAAGCGTTTCTTCACCGAGTGAACGAGATGCCACAGACATAGTCTAAGCACTCTCCCATTTGTCCAGACTGCTTCTATAGCATAGATCAGTCCCCAGTCCTTGTCTGTAAACATGAACTTGGGTTGAAGACCAGCTTGCTTTAAGCATGCAAAAAATTCGGCAATAACACCAACACGAAATGTGTCATCCTCGCCATTGTTTACTAGCTGACTCTGTGGTGTAAGCTTCAGAAGCATGTATGCAATCAGAAACCTGGCACCGTTTACAGTTGCGACTATCCCAAATAGTTCATATCCTGCTCGTTTTGTTTTATATGTAGAATCGATATAGTATTCCTCTGCTAGTTGCTGTGATCCACAAATTACATCAAATAATGGCATGGTAAAACCAATAGCCTAGTAATTGCTTTGTGCTGAGGTGAAAATCTGTTTATTGGTTATTGAGTTTTATTGATTCTATTATTAATGGTTCTTGTCTATTTCTCAATGTGTCGAAGTGAATGTATACACGATCCTCACATGTATTTAATATTAAGTAGTAGCTAATCATTTAGGACATTTTGACATACCTTACGGACACCCTTGTCAGCGGCTCTGTCGACGAGTATCTCTGCTGATCTGAACTGGTTGTTGTGCAGTGTATATTGGTTTTAGATCGGCTGGCACGCCCAGTAATACACTTGCCCCTGTGTTATTCTTATCGCTTCTTGTTGAAACTGACGGATAATGTTACGATGCAGCTGTTGTGCATCTAAGTCATTGCCATTTGCAGCGATGTATGCACATACATTTTGTGGGACGGCGTAATTTTTGACGGCAGGTGCAGCCCTATGCCCACAGAGTGTTCGATATTCAAGTGAAAGTAACCATTCACTCTATCGACCATGCCACTGATGCGGCCATTGCATAAGAAAGTTGCCATACGCCGATACAATTGTAAACAAATGGCAGCTTGACCCTGCACATCGAATGCAACGAGGATCATCCTTGTCTGTGACTACATCGAATGGGACTTGGTTATGTATATTCTTTGCCTTGCGGTTTGCATTGTGTTTCTCCACCAAAAAGCGAGCCACTTTGTCTTTGTCTATCAGAAAGGTAAGCAATGAATCAGATACCTAAGATATCTTTTCTTGGGCACACGCTTCTCTCTGGAAAACAAACCTCCAAAAGCAGCCCAGCCAAGTGGTGTAGCCGAGTACCAAGTATCGTTCAATTCAACGTTTGCACCCATATTGACCAAGGCTTGAACAACCTTGACGTCGCCATAATAACATGCCGCATGCAGAGGACCCCACTTGAACTTATCGCCAAACATTTCTACTTCCATTAGCTCGTTCACGTTGATAGCAGGATCCGTTTCCAATAGCTCGAGTGCTTTCTTTCCATCCGATCGACCGATTGCATCCATAAGCTCTGGCAGAGGAACGGCTATCAAATTTCACGAATGAGGATACATAGCTTTTCTCTTTGGCCCCTTTCGTATATCATCTTACTTCTCTTCTTGCTTTGTTTGTCGACCGCTTTCAGACGGATAGCCTTGACGTGCTGCTGTTGCGGTGGTGATGTTAATTGCTGATGTTGTGGTTGCGATGGTGGTTGTTGCTGACGGATTCCAAAAGCACCGCCTGGCAATTTGAGCACTGTCTTGCCCTTGTTTTCGTCTGCAGGGGAGGATGTCGCAGAAGATGATTTCTCTTTAGGACTGTTCTTCTTGCTATGGCTGTGGCTCTTGTCCTGGCCATCTGGACGCCAGTGCTTCACCAGTTTCTATAAAGGATATTGCAGAATCATGTTATGAGTGAAAACACGCATATATTATCCATTACTCATCCCAATGTCTCTCAACACGTACATGAATTTTAATGGCATCCTGATAAACCTGAGACTCCTTGATATTATATTTTTTGGCATTGGACACCATAAGATCAATATCAGCCTTCAAGTCACCAACAGATTTATATTCTTGTTGATCGATTTTAGTCTAAAGGCAAGGAAAATTAAAATGAATAACTAGGCTTATTCCAAGATGTGTGTACAGATAAATGGTATAAAACCTCTCTTTCCGTATAATAGCATTACCTTGATATTAGATAGTGCGATAGGATTTTTAATTACTTCGAAGTAATCTGGATATTGTCGTTTCGAAGGCAATTGGGCAAAAAGAGTGCTCAAAAAGTACTCTGGTCTATAATTCACCATCTCTTATTAGCCGACTCAGGATATACAACCCTTTTTCTCTCTCTGTGAACGTTTACACTTACTCATCCGGGTCAGGATACTCCTTGATAGCTTTATATAACTGTCGACATTGCTCTTGAACAATGTCTGGTAATAGTTGTGGTTCGTTATTGTTACTGCTATCACCAGTTTGTTGATCGCCCTATCGACAAGAGTGCCACACACAACATCATCAATAATTTTTCGATCTAAATATATAAAAAGAAAGTTTATTTACCTCTCTTTCTTTTCGTATCCGCTTTCTTTCTCTATAATTCTTTTCAGTTGCACTTTGTCTCTTTGGTCGCCCTTCCATGGTCGATAACATTCCACGATTTTCCTGGCTCGTTCACTGATTCAAATACGACAATGGTCCGGCCGCCTCTGAGAAAACCAAAATTGAGCATGACCCAAAATTATTTAATTTCATTCAACTGAGCTAAATATAAATTGTTCTTCTAATCAATCGATGATATCTGATCAACTTACCTTCTGTGATTTATATTTTTGGGTGGAGAGTTATAATAAAGTAAAACTCGCAGTTTTTTTACGATTGAGGTAGATTAACGCGCCTTTGTATAAAGACTATTCTTTTAAAAGCCAAATTGATAATGACAATTATAAATACTAGCTTTTCCTGGCTCGCTATAGCTGAATAAGTATACAAAATAAAAGAGAATCGCGAGAGCACGCTTACGAATTAAAGGGTCTTCTTTGTTCTTTATTGCTCGTTGCCAAGCTGTCCTACACTCAAGCCCAGCATTTTCGACGGAATTTAAAATAAGCAGCAAGCCAGATTTCGGCTCGCCTGCGGACGGTGTGTGACAAGAACCTAGATCGTGGTTTGTGTCAGAAGTGGCATCGGTACGACATCACTAACATTGATTATATAAAGGTTATGTCGAAACAAACAAAAGATTGATTTTGATCTGTAAGTACAAAAGCTTCTGTGGAGTTTTTTATGCTTTGACATGCTTTCTTATAGCTTGAAATATGTATAAAAAACATAGTTGAGCTATAAAAAACACTTTCTCGGAATAAGGAGTGCACGATACCTCTTTGCAATGAAGAATGTATCATTACACCCTATCGAGCAAATACTGTATACGTGTGTTCATTGCATGTTTAGAAATTTCTATCTCTGATAGTTTCTGGGACAAATAGCTGATACGCATCCTCAATTACCACGTATGTTACTCTTATGCTGAAATTTATACATGATGAGAAAACCTGTCATTATGTGGTGTGTGGACTGAAAGCGGTGAAAAAGAAATCGGTACAGCGCCCACGCAATAACTTGATCACCTCTGTGATTCCTAAAAGCAACAAGTCATCGATTTATTAAGTTATAGTCTTGTGAAGTAACAGTTAAATCATCAATTTAGTGATGCAAAGACGTGATCAAGTTTTTGAATTATCAAGCTATTGCGTGGGCATTGTACGTATGCAAACAAAATACTCTAACAATTTAGAATGTCAGGCAATTAGAGTTATTTACAACGCTGATCGTCAGTAGGCGCCTCGGTTTACAGTGCACGGCTTCTTGTTTCAATAGTCGCATGAAATCGTGTACAACTTTCGATCGTCTTGGTTTTTTATCTTCAAGAAAGAAGGAGATGTATCTATTGAAGAGACCAAACCGTCTGTCCAAGTTTGCAGCTGGAAGCAAGCTCTTGCCTTTGCAAAAGCGCTTCAACTATGCTGTTGGTGGAAACGATGATGACGACGACAATGAAGGTCATGAGGCTTCAAAATCCTACGAGACCGAGATCTTCTCGCTACGAAGTCTGCTACGAAGCGAGCTTAACTACGATTGCTTTCTTCAGCTCTTAAAAGATGAGCAGCAACGCGTCGTCGGTGCTTTTACGACCTCAGCAAGGCAGGTGCAGTACTGACGAACATCACTGCCAAAGGTCGCGCTGTTCGACTATGTGGAAGCAGCAACCAACGCCAAAACCTGATCTACGTAAATTCGCACAAGACTAAAAATTTTCACCCGATGCTCCGATTTTCAAGGACCAAAATAAGTTGGACACAGAAGAATCTACAAGATGGGACGCTGTAGTCTTAATGTTTAAGACCTCTTCTCTTCTTTCGCCATGGCAAGTTTCCAGAAAATCCCGAATTCATATATGAAATTAGCCAAAAGAGATGACCATATACACTTTCTCTAGGCAGAGCTCAAAAAAACTGATATGTACATGACATATTGTTCTTGATATGCTAGCCAACGCTTGTTGTGGTCTGAAAAAGCTTGAAGTGAAGTAGGTTCAGAATTTGCTTTTAGGGTGACGCGCACCATTATTGAAAGCCACAAAAGGTATTTCGAGCTCTTCTATGCTCAAGACCACTTTGGTCCCTTTAAAGGTCCTCGTTAATGACTTTGTCGCTATCCGAGAAGTAGAGAACGTGCTTGGTGGTTACCAACAGCTTGACTCTCGTCAACTTCCGTGCGATTCAACAGGCGATAGATGCATTACACCTACAGACTTCTGTCCAGGTACTGTCTGCGGCGACAAGTGTTGGTGCAGATAAAGACATGTTTAATGACCCACATCACGATCATTGTTATCGGCTAGATTATCGTCATGAAATCAAAACGCTCTCTCATACTTTCTCAATTTTAAATGTATCCGCAACAATATTATTAGTGCAATAAATTAAACATCTTGTTATTTTATAACCTCAACATCAATAACAAAGTATTTGTCAATTTCGATGTATCGATCCATCAAATGTAGCATGTAATATTTTGACCTTTACAAAAAAAACGATGTGCCATTATTGTTGAGATCAACTCTGGATAATTGTGTAGCAACAGTTAATGTATATCATTTTTCATTTTTTGTAGTAATGTAATTTCAAAACGAGGGTCCCGTCGATCCCATTAGGGTCCACTGTAATTATATGACTGTTCGAATGAACTAAGAGTTCCGAAAGTTAACAAAAAATAATAGATTGCGATGAAACTGATGGAGAATACCAATCACTTGTCATTGACCGATACTTGATAAATATTCTGAGCTTTTTATTTGCGCACGTATTGTAGCTTGTAGCGGAATAAAGCTGACATTTACTGTCTTTTCGTAAAAGTTCTATATCGAGCAACGAGGTATTTTATTATCAGATAGCCAGAGTCCTTATTATTACTCTACGCTACATATATACTTTGCGAAGTCCATGTGTCATAGTCTGCCATATTTTGATAATCACCAAAAGCATGCAAAACCATCACTTTCAGTTTGTACACTCCTCTTGGCAAAGGCTTGCCTGGAAGCTTAATCGACTGAGAATGGTACTCCAAATTAGCCGTATCATCGCTCCCGTCACGATCTTCTTGCTGTTCCGTTTCAATGTCATGATGGTCCATTGCGCGGAAAAGTGCTGGATAATTGACTGCAAGATCGACTGTGGTGGACGATGATTTGCTTTGTACAGCCATGGCTTGCTCAGGGGTAGCAGCAATATCACCATTCCAAGTCATCATAAGCGCATCATTGTTATTGCCTATATCGTGTCGGCCCACAAAAGACCAATATCCGCCAGGGATGATGCCGACGGGGCGATCGAATTCGTCGAGCGCAGTAACTAGGACTAAAGGTGAGGGATGGATCAACTGGAGCCTGATTAAAGCAGGTGAAAGCGGTCCGACTACGCGATTTACAAGCACCTCTGGCATTGTTTCGTTAATGTACAGCACAGGAAGATCGCCTAATGTGGATGTGAGACCAGCGTATGGAACATGCAAAATATCGTACGGATCGTTGTCCTTGGTCACCACGAAAAATCCAGAATAGATAGATGGCGGCATGACGGTATAGTTCTCTGGAGGTTTAATACGAACAGTTACGTTGCTTGCTCCATTAATAGGGACCGTCACCTTTTCAGGTGTTATGCTTTCAATGATTGCTTCTACTTGATGACCGAGAAGCAAATCTGGTTTTTTCATTGGGATTTGACTACCAATAAGATCCTTATTCTTGTAACCTTGGGCTGTTCCGGATGCACGGTGGGTAATGGTATAGTCGGCAGCCATGCGACCGTTGTTATGGATCGTAAATGTGTATTCATTGTTGGGCGAGGCATGTGCCAGGTCACCGAGCTGCAACTGTTGCGGGGATACTTTGGTAGTTATCCGCAGAGCGCGATATGCATCGATTAGCCCGCCACCTTGCCGGGCGACAGAATCTAACGCTGTGGTGTTGTAAATGTTAAAGGGAACACTGCTGCTGATCAGCGCGGATCGTAAATCGCTGACGCTAATGCTTCGACTGCCTCCTCGTGCCTGTTGAAGCAAAGCAACAATCCCTGCGACATAGCCATGCTTGTTCCGCTAATAATGTAAAACGGATAAAATCGATTCATTTATAGTCAATGTTTGAAGAGTATGTCTTGATTGTGTTAGTGTTACCTTAATGTTGCATAGCTGCCTCGGTTTGTTGGGAACCTGCAGCAAGATATGATGTGTATGCGTTAGTCATACTTTCCCAGTGATGCAGACAGCGTAATATGAAAAGCTAACAACAGCTTACGTTGAATATATTTGACCTCCAGGTGCACTGAGATCCGGTTTGATGCTCAAGTCGGGCGCAAGTCCCCAAGAGCTGAAGGCACTCATTGTCCCTGTAACCACAGCAAGCCCAATAGTATCAATATGTCGTTCACAGAGCGATTAAAAGGCTTCGTTCGTAATCG